CCTTTCCTGGGCTGCAAAGATACAACCACAACAAGGTTTCCGACCTTAACAGCAAATCGGGGAATTTATAAAAATAGCCAAATGCCTCGTCATCTAATTAGTGACACGCATGAATGGATTAATGAGATTCCCACCATCCCTATCTACTATCCAGTAAAACCACAGACAAGGGAACGGGCTTGGCGGAAGACCCTGTTGAGCTTGACTCTAGCCTGGCACAGTGGAAAGGCATGAGACATGTAGGATAAGTGGGAGGTGCTTGTTCCTCATTGCTCTGGGTGCCGTCGGTGAAATACCACTACTCTGATAGTTTTTTTCACTTACCCGGTGAGGTGGGGAGGCGAGCCCCACCGGGGGCTCTCACTTCTGGCTCCAAGTGCCTCCGGCACCGGAACACCATTTGCGGCGCCGGGCACGACCCGCTCCGGGGACAGTGTCTGGTGGGGAGTTTGACTGGGGCGGTACTACTGTCAAACGGTAATGCGGGTATCCTCAGGCGAGCTCAGGGAGGACAGAAATCTCCCTTGGAGCAGAAGGGCAAAAGTTCGTTCATCTTGATTTTCAGTACGAGTACAGACCATGAAAGCAGGGCCTCACAATCCTTTTGAAGCAAGAGGTGTCAGAAAAATTACCACAGGGATAACTGGCTTGTGGCAGCCAAGCGTTCATAGCGACGTCGCTTTTTCATTCTTCGATGTCGGCTCTTCCTATCATTGTGAAGCAGAATTCACCAAGCGTTGGATTGTTCACCCACTAATAGGGAACGTGAGCTGGGGTTAGACCTTTGTGAGACAGGTTACTTTTACCCTACTGATGCTGTGTCGTCGCAAGAGTAATCCTGCTCAGTACAAAAGGAACTGCAGGTTCAGACATTTGGCGTGTGCGCTTGCCTGAGGAGCCAACGGTGCGACGCTACCATCCAAGAGATTATGACTGGGCGCCTCTAAGTCCGGATCCCCTCTAGACGCGACGATACTGTTGTGCCCGGATCTTTGGTTAGACTCTCATAGACAGGTGGACTCCTGCCCGGTGCGGAATTCCGCATGACCTTGGTTTCGAGGCGCCGCCGCAGCAAGCATTCAGCGTCCCTCTCCTCTGTCGCTTGATAGCACATTCACGGGGAAGCCAGGTGCCAAATCATTAGTAAATGACCTGGTTCTGGCTCGGGGTTTCGTAAGTAGCAGAGCAGCTTCCTAGCTGCGATCTACTGAAAGTCAGCACTTGAGATAAGGCTTTCCCTGGCGCCACCCATGGGGAACGCGGCTCATAAAAGGGCTACGCCATACGCGGGAGCAATTGTGTGACAATTAGTCTTTCTTTTTGAGCATCACATTCCTCTTCGAATACAAAAGCAGTCGGCTGAATCGTTGCTAAAATGCCAGTAACCGAGCGGCTTCCTCATCATAAAAGTACACGCAGCAACATCTCCGTGAAAAACAGGGGTCTCGGCGGATTTTTCTCGGCCGGAAAACTGGTGAGATGATCCGCCTGGCCATGCTCTGCATGGGTCGGTAGTCGTCCCGGGATGGTAAATCTCGCTGCAATTTGTTGGTATTTTCTTGAAAAAAATTGGTCAATTTTGGGGGGACCGACTGTCAGAGTATGATGAAACTTGTGTGTCCAGGTCGGAATGAGGTCTCCAAAAAGAGGCAATGAAAACTATTTCATGACTGCATTTGTTTTATTTTGTGAAGAGCAAAAAACGTTCGTCTCCATAGGACATAGTGTTAAGTGGTCGCTCGTCCATTTCACTTCGCAAAGCTAAATGACTCATATCGTTGGATCCCTCTCGCAGACGCTTGTGAGACATTTCGTTCCAGAGTTTGGGAATTTGTATATGGAAGACTTTGAACCAAAAGCAAAAGCATCAAGCACACTAAAAACTCTATTTTTGGTTTAGATATCTAGATGAAACATTCGTGTTCTGGCCACACAATAAAGATGCACTTAATTAATTCTAAATCATCTCAACTCGCAAAAGCCATTTATCTAGTTCACTATGGACGTGGAGGTTGATAAAACTCTCCCATTTCTGGATATCTGCTCAGAGGCGGCAGAAACGATAACACACAGCGTTTTACCGAAATAAAGCGCCCACTGATGCCTATCTGAATGAAGTCATACCACCACCTCACACAGAAACCCTCTCTCATTAAGACGATCATGCATCGGGCTAAGAATGTGTCAGATAGTCAACGTATGAGGAGTGAGATTAAACATGTGTAGTGTCAGCAATTCAGAGACTGAGTCTCTAGGAGGCACCGTCTTTATTCACAACTTCCACGGTCTCGTCTTCACATTCTCCACCGTCACTTAGCCTAGCCTGTACACAACCCTAACCGTCAAACACTAATGGTGCTGACTGAGATAGGTAACAACTTCCAGCAGCGAAATATATCGTGAAGATGGCAGCGACGACGGCGACGAGACGACAACAACGACGAGACGAGTCCACTCCCAGAACCGGCCGCCCTGAGCCCCCCGCTCTCGGCTCTTTTATGCTACCCAGCACGGCCTGGCTCTGCCCTGACCACACCTCCATTTTCGAACCCGCTAGTAATTTCCAGGGGCCTCCAGATTGCGTCCTCCGTGACCCTTACCCTAGTTCCCCTCTCTGCCCACACCCCGTGCATGCCCTCACCGGCGTGTGTACTGTCTGTCCACAACAGCTGTCGCTGCTGTCCACCAGCCAGCGCTATTACACTACACTTATGTGATGAGGTGAAAAAGAATCCATCCTCCAACATTCAGTTTGTCCGATGTGTGTTTGCGGAGGGAGGGGGGGTATGAAAAGTTTTGCTTGTTTGTGAAAGTGGGAGCTGGAGCATCCCTAAATATGATATGAAAAGTGATACAAGTATGGGCATGATTCATTCAACAAAGTATCTAGGTTTGATCTGCTCCAGATTATGCAAACGAGAGTGTTAAAAAAGGCAACACAAAGAGCACTTTTGGGGAGTCAGAGAAATGAAGACTCACGCGGCAAGAACAGGAACCAGCCATCAGCCAACAACCACCAGCACGAAGCACTGAACATCTGTCGGAGTGTGGAGCAACCAAACCTAGTGCAGCAGGAGGGTCTGGTCCACTGCTGGAATATGGAGGAACCACACCCACTGCTACAGGAACCTCAAGCAGTGCCACCCCAGAAACTGCGAATGCCATACCCCGAGCTGAGTGTACTGTACGGAGAGGCATCTGAGCAGTGTGTCTACTGCTGGAGTGCGGGGACACGCCACGCCGAGGGCCACAGAGTCTCTTTTGGCTGCGAGTTGTAAGACGGCCACGCCCTCTCTATCGTGACCACACTGAGGGGCAAAGGAGCCACATCCACTCGTCTGGCCTCACAAACTCCCACTGTTATAGGTAAGACTCTAGATCAAGGGACGCTGTTACCAAAACCCCGAATACGGATCTCCAATGCACCTGACCCCCGATCAAGTGGCTAGTGTCAGGTGGCGAGAAATACATGGCAGAAGCATACCGCTCCTCCACTCAAAGGTGGACCTGGCTAGGCCAAAAACTATGGGACTGTGGGAGAAACCGCTCTGTCAACCTATCCCCCCCACCTAAAAGTAGGCACACATTTGGTGTACCCCTTCGACATGCCCGAGATCGCACCCACTAAAAAAAACGAGTTTAAATTTACGCATGGAACATACGTCACTAATGAGAGGAGAGTAAAATTCTCTAATTCCCCCGGACTGCCCCAGGTGCCCATAAGGCACCACCTCAAAATATATTTTCATGCCTTTTGGACATGTCCTGACGTGGTAAAACCATATGCAGACATCACTAGACACGTTAACACAGTCAGCAACACAAACTCTGTACAACCACTCGACTCCAAACCCCCCTTTCATTTCAAAGACACATCCCACTTCAGGCCTTGAAACATCTCGACTGGGAAGGTCATACTGAGCAATTGGAAGGACTCTTACCCTCCCTCCCTAAAACATTGGTAACATTGATTGTACACACTGGCCTAAATGGAACATATCGGTTATAAAAAGGAGGCAGAATCGAAAACAATCTTGAAACCACTTCCTTTTCTGCCCACCCAATCGAGCCCCTCTCCGGATGTACCACGGAGTAGGAACCGAGACAGAGGAGAGCAGTAGTCACCCCGGAGCCCCCGTTATTGGCGCAGAGAGGGGGCGGTGTGACGGGAAGCTGGCAGGCTCACAACACCCTAACGGCCTAACTCATCTAACACGTGGCAGCTAGTCCATAGCACCCTCCCCCCACTTACGCCTCCCAAATAATGTTTTTCTTGCTATGCTCCCTCTCACCCTCTCCCTCTCCCCCGTTAGGAAATGGCTCCATCTCCATAAAGCCTGCCCATATAATGGAACTGTAAACCCAGAAGACCCTAACCGTTCAGCCGATCGCATACACCCTCCGTGGAGGCCGTGTACTGTAAGTTACGGACATGTACAATTGCTCAATAAAAATGTATAAATGGATAAAAAGTGCACGTAGCCTGGCACAAAGCTCCGTGGTAACGTCACCACCACTCATTAGGGAATGTGCGTGAGCGTGTGTTTGGAGCGGTGGCACAGTGGTTAGCGCACTGCACTATGAACCAGGCAGACCTGAGTTCGATTCTCACTCACGACTACCACGATAAACCCCAGTAACGAGTATCTGAACCGCTCCTAGGTCTCCCATAGGTTGACTCAGCCTCAAATGAGTATCTGATACGATGTGTATATATTGGTGCTGGGGAGACAAATGCGGTCGGGCGTGGTGCTGGTCACCCACCCCCTCTTGTGCCGTGCCGGCCTTCATAGGTGCTCCTCATTAACAGCACTTGTCCTACATTGTGTGGGCTACACAGGGGAGCTTTGTATTTATCTGTGTCTGGGTCTGCTTCAGTCCCGGATGTAATCGATATTTCCATTGATTTAAAAAAAAACTTCAACGGAGTTCAACTTACAACGCCAAACGCATTGTCAACATCATCAGATATCAGAAACATCAGCAGCAGCCTTATAGACATTGAGAACAGCATCAGCACATCAACAACATCATCATCACATGAACAATATCATTACATGAAACTAAGTCCGCATCATCGCAAGAACTATCAATACAACAATCACCAACATCACCATCAGGACAGGTGAGTCATTGTGTTGTTAGTGGTTGCGATGTCGATAATGATTAGCACGGTGGGCTACATACTGAGCGAAAGAACGTCAAGATACTTACATGACGATACTGATGACGATGTTGTTTAACGACGTTGATGATGCTGAAACAGACGTTGATGATGATGCTGATTTTGTAGATTGAGTTTGTCGTTGCTACTGTAGTGCTTACGATGTCAATTGTGTTGATTCTGATAATGATGATATTAATGATGCTCATGATACTGCTGATGATGCTGCAGATGATGATGTTCTTCATATCATTCACCTTCGTCAAATAGAGCAATCATGAGTGCATTTGTGGAGAAAATAAGCAACACAGCCGTAGAAAAGCAGTCGAATCACCTCTTTCAATATTAATAGTATTTGTACACATCCAATTAAATTAGTGTAACACTCTAGAGCGATATCTAAAAACAGTGTATCAACGGCATTCATGTGTGAATAAGTAGGTGGATGGACAAGTGAGTGGGCGAGTGAGTTGGTAGATAGGTGAGTGAGTGAGTGGGTGAGTAAGTGAGTGGGTGAGTAAGTGGGTGGGTGGGTGAGTGAGTGGGCGGGTGGCTAAATGAGTGAGTGGGTGAATAAGTAGGTGAGTGGGTGGAAGGGATAGTGAGTAAGTGGGCGGGTGGCTGAGTGAGTGGTTGGGTAAGTCAGAGAGAGCGTGCGAGTGGATCGGTGAGTAAGTGAAGCTTGTGAGTGAGTGGGTGCGTAAATTAATGAGTAGGTGAGTGGATGGATGAATGAGTAGGTGCGTGAGTGAATGAATGAATAAGTGAGTGAGTGGGTGAGTGAATGAGTGGGTGGGTGAGTGTGTGATGCGCCTAGTGCAGTAATCATGATTAGCTTAGGTGCATGCCAGCTTGCTTGCATGCCTGCCTGCTGCTCTGCTTGCATGTTTGCTATGTTTTGCTACCCATGCTGTCAAACGCTGCCGTTGGCTAGCCGTCATGGTGAAACAGGGTGTAGAGTGCGTAAGTCTTTTTGCCAATACAGAGCCTCTCCATCACCAAGTCTCCTACTCTACCTCCCCGTTGGCAGCCCCGGGTTACTGGTGTACCGCTACACTAGGCCAAACCGGTAGGGTATCACGGAGCTGTAGTGGTCCCCAAAGGCATTTACAACTTGCCAACCACTGCCCCACTGCCTTGTGGGTAAACTTCAACTGGGGGAGAAACCCCCTGACTCCAAGTCTGTGGTGGGGACCTGCAATGGAGGTGTTCAACAAATCGGATTTCCGGCAGTCCCCTGCAGCTCTGGCCATACGTCTGTTTGCTTTGAGTGAAGATGGCGGGCATAGGTAGTGCACACCCCTAGCCTCACCTGAATCCACTCCTCGCGCAGGCCTCTTGCTCCAACCTCCCCTTCCCCCCATCTTTTAAAGCCCTGCGGCAACAGCGAATGGCAGAAGGTGCAGTTCAAAGGATGTGACTGGGAGCATCTAGCCAAACTCTGCAAGTAGGCGGCAATGCAGTGTAGGTCGCCGAGACACGGGATGGAACAGCATCGTGTCTCCTTGGCAGCTTCCATCGTGTTTGAGCAACCCCCACACTGCTCACCCCTGATATGGAAGGACCTAGAAGAGGTGGACTATAAATTGACTGTTCCATTCACTCCGGGTGGTTAGCTGCTAACACCGGAGTGTCCCATTCAGCGGCCGAAAGTCAAGGAAATCCAAGACTCGTTTGCTCCTTCAAGTTGTTTATTGGAATGTCCGCACCCTCCTGAACTCTAACGACAAAAACTGACAGAACAGAAGGACAGCCCTCGTAGCCCATGAACTCAGGAAATACATCAACATTGCAGCACTCAGTGAAACCCGCTTCAATAGAGAAGACTCTCTCAAAGAGGTTGGTGAGGGCTACACCTTCTTCTGGAAGGGTGTTCCAGAAGATGCTCGCCGCCTCCAAGAAGTGGGTTTAGTTGTGAAAACCTCAATCCTTCAATGTGTCACTGAATCCCCTGTTGGCATTTGTGAGGGACTGATAATGTGGCACATTACCTTGGCTGGGGAGGGGGGGCACATTGCCATGCTCATCGGTGCTTATGCTCCTACACTGGACACAGACAATGGCGCCAAGGAGGCTTTCTGTAAAGCTCTCGACGCTGCCATTTAAAACACACCGCGTATTGACAAGCTACTCCTCATGGGAGACTTCAATGCCGGGTATGGGCTCAGAATACCAGATCTGGGACCATGTACTAGGCCGCCACAGGGAGGGTAAGCAGGACAGCAACAGGCAGCGGCTACTCTCCCCATGCTCCGAACAACACCCAGTGATCTCCAATACCCTGCTCCAGTTGAAGGATCAAACACGAGAACCCATGGCAACACCCCCGCTCAAGACACTAGCGCCTGCTAGATTATATCATCGTCCATCAGTGCGACCAAAAGGAGGTGCTAGTGACCCTAGCCATGCGTGGGGTGGAATGTTGCGACTGATCACCGTATGATCAAAGCCAAGCTCCGAATTTATATCCATCCATGCCATCGAATGTAGGCCCCAGATAAGAGCCTCAACTGCAATGCCCTAAAAAATCCAGCTGTCACTAACAACACTGCAGCATACCCCCTCCATCAAACTCCCCGCAATCTGCCCAGACTCCGACCCCAACACCGCATAGACTGAGTTGCGCATGGCCATCCTTAAGGCAGCCTTCGAATCAGTCAGGTACACCAAAAAAGGGTCACCAAGACTGGTTCTATGAGAACGCTGCCGGCATCCACACACTGCTGCAGAACAAACGCCAAGCCCACAAAGCCGTTACTTTCCAACTCATACTCTCCTACTCTCCAGTCCGCCCTCTCCAAGGCCAAAGCAGAGTCCCAGCGTGCTCTCCGTGCCATGGATAACACCTGGTGAGTCCAAAAGGCAGATGAGATCCAAAGCCTCGCAGACACAAACAACACCCAAGGGTTTTATGATGCCATCAAAGCCCTCTATGGCCCCCCAAAACAAGCCACCGCCCCAGTCAGGTATGCTGATGGCAACACTATTTTCAAGGACTGAAAAAATATATTTGAGAGATGTTCAAAGCACTTTGATAATCTCCTCCACAACACCAACCCCACAGACCTGCTCATACTCGACGCACTCCTTGATATACCACCCATTCATGAACTCAACACTGCACCACAATTTTCTGACGTCCACCAGGCATTCAAAGGCGATTGGGTGGATGGGTAAATTAGTGTGTGAGTGGATGGTTTACTGGGTGAGTGAATGGGCGCGTGATTGAGCATGGAAGTCAGCAATTGAGTGAATTGTTGGGTGGATGAATGAGAAGGGTAAGTGGATGAACGAGTGAATAAGTGATTGAGTGGGTAGGTTGGTAATTGGGTGAATTAATGAGTGGGTGGCTTACTGGGTGAGTGAATGGGCATATGATTGAGTGGTTAAGTGAGGTGAGTGAGTTGGAGAGAGAGAGTGGTGGAATGAGTGGTTAAGCACGTGGGTCAGTAAGTAGGTGAGTAAGTGGGTAAGTTCGTGGGTGAGTGGGTGGATATATTATTGAGGGCGGGTGTATGAATGAGAAAGTGAGTCAGTTGGTGAATTAATACATAAGTGAGTGCTGGAATAGATGAGTTGGTGAGTGTGTGAATCAGTGGATGATTGGGTGTGTGGGTGAATGTGTGAGTGTGAGTGAGTGAGTAAGTGGGTAAGTGGGTGAATGAGTGAGTAAGTGGGTGGATGGGTGAGTGGGTGGGTGAGTGAATAAATGAGTGACTGTGTGAGTGAGTGGGTGAGTGGGTGAGTGAGTCGGTGAGTGAGTGGGTGACTCGTTCAGTAACTGGGTGGGTGAGCGGTGAGTGAGAGTGGGTGGTTGTGTGGGTGAGTTACTGGGAGAGTGAATTGGTGAGTGAGTGTGTATGGGTCGGTATGTTAGTGGGTATGTGGTTGAGTGAGAGAGTGAATGAGTGGGTGGGTGATTGGGTGGATGGGTCGGTGTGTAGGTGAGTAAGTGGGTGAGTGAGGGGGTAGATAGGGGAGTGGGTTAGTCGGTGAGTAAGCAAGTGGGTGATTGGATGCCTGAATAAGTGGATTGGTGAATGAGTGAATGAGTGAGTGAATGAGTGAATGAGTGAGTGGGTGGGTGAGTGGGCAAATCAGTGGGTGAGTGAGTGGGCGAGTGATTGATCGTTGGAAAGAGTGGATAAGTGAGTAATTTAGTGAGAGTGTGAATAGAGCAGATGGTAGGAGAGTGGGCGAATGAATACGTGATTGAGTGGATAGGTGACTGAATGAGGTGTGAGTGAGTGGATGGGGTGTGGGTGAGTGAGTGGATCAGTGAGTGTGTGGTTGGGCGGGTGAGATACTGGGACAGTGGGTGAGTGTGTGGGTGGGTTGGTCCGTGGGTGGGTAAGTGAGTGGATGGGTGAGTGAGTTGGTAAGTGTATAAGCTAGTGCGTTGGTGGGTAGATGAATGAGTAGGTGGAATGGTGAATGAGTGATTGAGTGGGTAGGTGGTTGGCATGGTTAGTGAATGAATACGTCGGTGGGTGCGTGAGTATGTGAGTGGGTGAGTGAATGGGCGATTCACTGGACATGTGGGGTGTGACTGAGTAAGTTATTGAGATGGTAGATGGATTAATGTGTAGTGAATACGTGAGAGTTGGTAGGTGACGAGGTGTGTGTGCGGCTGAGTGAGTGAGTGGGTGGGTGAGTTAATGAGTGAGAGTGGATGGTTTGGATGGATGAGTTACTGGGATAGTGAGTGGGTGATTTGGTAAGTGTGTGGGTGGAAGATTTAATTATTGGGTGGTCGAATGAGTGGGTGGATTAGGTTATGCATACGTGGATGATTGAGTGAGTGGTTTAGTGAGTGGTTTGGATGATTTTATGGGTGGGTCGATAAATGAGTCAGTGGGTGGTTGATTTCGTGGGTGAGTGAATAGGCACGTGAGTGTGACATTTTGCAATTTAGTTAGTTATTTCGTGGATGAATTAGTAGTTAGGTGGGTGAATATGTGAATAAGTTATTGAGTCTGTGGGTAGGTGAGATAGTGCGTGGGTGAGTGTGTGAGCCAGTAATCATCTGGCTGAGTGAGTTGTTGAGTGCATGAATGAGTGAGTTAATGGGTGAGTAAGTGAGTGGGTGGGTGAATGGTGAGTGCTTGAATGCGTGACTGGATGAGTCAGTGGGAAATCAGTAATAAATGGAGTAGGTGCGTAAGTGGGTGAGTGAATGGCCTTGTGAGTGAGTGGTTGAGTGCGTGGGTCAGTGAGTAGGAAAGAAAGTGTGTGAGTAAGTGGGTGGGTAACTGGTGAGTTGGTGAATGTGTGAATAGGTAGGTGGGTGAGTGAGTGAGTGGCTGAGTGAGTGGGTAGTAACTCAATTAGTGGGAGGGTAGGTGGATGAATGAGTAGGTGAGTGAGTGGGTGACCGAATGAACAAGTGAGTGAGGGGTTGGGTAGATGAGTGGGTGAGTTGGTGGGTATGTGGATGAGTGGGTGAGGGAGTGGTTGGGTGGGTAAGTGAATGAGTGAGCAAATGAGTGTGTGCGTGAGTGAGTGGGTGAATGAGTGAGTTCGTATCGGCGATTGAATTGACGTGTGAGTGACTGGGTACATGAGTAAATTAGTGAGAGGTTGGATGAATGAAAGGGTAGGACATTGGGTGAACAAGTGCATAATTGAGTGGATATGTGACTGTGTGACTGTTCGAGTGAGTGGGTGAGAGAATGGTTTGGTAGATAGATGAGTGACTGGTTTGGTGGGTCTGGGAGTGTATCGGTTAGTGAATTGAGTGGGTGAATGGGTGAGTGTGTGAGCGATTAGGTGGTTGTGTGGCTGTGTAAACGAGTGAGTGAATGGCTGGGTTGTTTAGTGTGCGAGTGAATGGGGGATTGAGTGGGTGGGTGAATGGGAATGTCAGTAATTTGGCAGGTGAGTGAGTGTGCGTGGGTGGATGAATGCATAAGTAGGTGAGTGGGTAAGTTCGGAAATGCGCGCGTGAGTTAGTGAATACGTGAGTGTGTGAATTAGTGAGTGGATGGGTACGAGCGTAGGTAAGTGTGTGAGTGAGCCTGCAAGTGCGTGGCTGAGTGAGTATGTGTGAGTAAATTGGTGAGTTGGTGAATGAGTGAGTTCATGGGTGAGTATGTAAGTGGGTAGCTTAGTAGGTGAATGGGTGAGTAAATGATCTGGGGATTGGTTACGTCATTAAGCAAGCGAGTGAGTGCGTGGGTTGATTAATAAGTCGTTGAGTGGGTGAATGAGTGAATAAGTGAGTGGGTGGATGAGTGAGTGAGTTGGTAAATGGGTGAATGGTGAGTGAGTAGGTGAATGGGTGAGTGAGTGAATGAGTGTGTGAATGCTTGAGTTGGTGAATGGCCTTCTCCGATGATCTCCACCCTGCCGTGGTGGAGCAGCTTGTGCATTCTTGAGATTCCATTAGCGATACCGTCTGGAGCTTAGCCATCAATATGGTTTTACGCTCCCGATAGAGTCATCCATAGCGGTAATGTCAAGAGGGGAGTGTCCAGACAAAGACATGAAGGATGGAGCAGGCAGAAGATGACCTCAAGTCACAACGGTTGTGAAGGCGGAGGAAGGCTGCAGCAGAGAGAGGTTGCTAATCGTTGTGGCCTCCATGCCATTGGACTCTGATCTATCTCTGTCAAGGACCGTGTTTGTGGCTGCATGTGCATCTGTCTCTCCAGATTACAAGATGTTACGCGCAGGCGTCCTTTTGAAAAGGAACAATATCTTGCACATCTTGGATTCAAAGCCCTGCGGCAATCAGCAAAGAGTGACGAGAGTATGATATCTTCTTCTTGGTTCTTTCGGTAAAGTCACGTAGAAGGGAAATAATAAAATAATAAAAATAAAACATAATAAAATAATTCTCACGACGTTTCGGCCACAACGCAAGCAGCCGTCCTCAGGTGAAGACCAGGTCTGTCGGGGAGACAGCGTCTGAATGAAAAGAGAGTATGATAGTGATAGTCTGGCAGCAGCGAGCCAGGAACTGGCACACAGGCAGTGGGTGTTTGGTTCAGTCGTCTTGCTTGTGGACAGAGGCAGATAGAGCTTTGAGCGGCTGCACCCATGACTGAGCAGCCCTTTTTGAGATCTGATTTGCTTACCCCAGTAGGGGAAGGGGCTGAAAAAAGTGCTCTAAAACAGGCTGCCTCAAAACTCCCGACTGGATTACCACGTCCAATGGGTTTACCTCTTTGTGGTAAGAAACAAATAAAAAATAAATGTGGAGCCTGGAATGTGTGAACCGTGATGTAAATTTCAACCAGCGATCGACCTGAGAGACAAATTGTGATCATCATAAGAGAACTGAGAAGATTTTGGATTGACCTCTCTGCACTCTTCTGAAACCGGACTGGCAGATGATGGGCACATTAAGGAGGAGAACGGCATTTACACCTTCTTCTGAAAACGTAAACCAGCTGATGAACCCAGGAACCATGGAGTTGGTTTCGCTATTAAGAAAAGACTCATCAGCCACCTCTCAGAACTCCCTGTCGTCATCAATTAACGCCTCATGACTGTCTGTCTAAGGCATGCACATATACCGGGTCGCCCTATCCCTATGCTCCCTGTGATAGTAACAAGGGGACAGGCCGGTTAATAAAGATGCATGACTCCTGTCACAACTGGAGGGTTTCAAAACTCGATCTGAATCTACCATTGTCCTTAGACCTACCCTCAAAACCTGAGGCCAAGATGCCGGGCCGTGGTGCATATGTGAACCCTATAGGTGTTACATGTGCTTCTCATTTCATTTTATCTGCCATTTGACACACACAATTGGAAAAACATTGTGCATGTTTAACAATGCCGGATGCACTAAACACAATTTTTTTTATATAAAGTAAATAACGACAGTCAGCTACCCACGCACGCAAAGCAAGCTCTCGACAGCCAAATGACAATGACTTTTACAGCAAAAAAGTGTAAACTGGCTTGCCCTATCCTTCTCCTCCTGGTGATAGTAACCGGGAGACAGGCCGGTTAATAAAGACAACATGAATAGACAAGTTTGGAGGCAATGAGTGGATACGCTGCGTTGTGTTCTGACCTCCTCTTGAGGTTTGAGTGACTCCACCACCAAGGGACACCAAAGGATTGTGGAACTGCAACTCTTTATTTCCAAGTGATTTTCCTTCCTCTTAAGGATCGAGTGACTCCACCACTTAGAAACATCAAAAAGTTATGGAACAGGAACTCTTTATTTCAAATTGTTTTTCTGAGGAGCATTAGTGCATCTGTAATTATGACCAGATGCACACCAATCGACCGCACGTTAGACAACACCTCGCTGCTCAATCCCTGTACAGCTTCCATCCAAATATCAATAGATTCCCTGTACCCTGAATTGATTGCTCCACAGGTGGGCGTGGCCTACTGTGCAGTCACGTGAGTTTATGTGTCCCATCCATGGTCATCATTAACGCCATTGATAACACTGTGTAAAAAAAATGTTCCTGGGTAGTACGTGTTATTTCCTAATTGCGTATGCCTCAAAAGTACAGAAAATGGCTATTATTCCCCACAAACTTAGCTTTTTGACCAGGACATTGATATTTTAAAATGTACTTCTTTTAAATGAAAAACGGTCGAATTTGTTTCTTTTCGTTCACGTAAAGTCTGAAAAAAACAACATATGAATCAAAATTTACATGTATTAATACTAAAGTAATACAAAAATTACTACAAAAGATTTAGACACCAAGGCGCACTACCACAGGCATAACTGGCCACAACGGACCGATTTATCTGTGGGGAGGTATAACGTTAAGTGGCAGCCACCGGTGGACCCCCGGAAGGTGCTGATACCACCACTGCACATCAAATTGGGCCTTATGAAACAATGTGTCAGAGCTGTAGATAAGGAGTCGGCAACCTTCAAGTACCTTCAAGACTTCTTCCCTAAGCTGTTTGAGGCAAAGGTCAAAGCCCGTGTCTTCGTCAGACCACAGATGAAGAAGATCCTGGAGTGCAATGAATTCCCCAAGAAGCTCACTAATAAAGAGAAAGCGACTTGGAATAACTTTGTTGCAGTGGTTCGTGGCTTCCTGGACAATCACAAGGTCTAAAACTATGTGGAGTTGGTTGAGACTGGTGAAGAACTACGGCACAATGGGTTGTATGATGTCCCTCAAAGTTTATATCCTTGATGCTCATCTTGATAAATTCAAGGAGAACATGGGAGCGTACTCGAAGGAGCAAAGCAAGCGCTTCCACTAGGATATACTGGACTTTGAACGCCTCTACCAATGAAAGTGTAACTAGAACATAATGGGAGACTACATTTGGGGCTGATTCGTGAAAGTGATTTATGGTTTAATCGTAAATTTCGAAAAACTACTCACTTCTAAATCTTTTGTAATACATTTTGAAATTGCTTTAGTAAAAATACATGTTAATTTTGATTCATGTTGTTGTTTTCTGACTTGATGTGAATGAAAAGACACAAATTTGCCAGTTTTCTCATTGAAAATAGATACATGTCAAAATATCACTGTCCTGGTTACAAAAGCAAAGTTTGTGGGGAATAATAGCCATTTTTATACTCTTTGGTTCTTTCGGTAAAGTCACGTAGGTAGAAAATAAAATAAATCACGACGTTTCAGGCGCAACACAAGTGTCCATCATCAGGTGGGAAAGCTTGTGTTGCGCCCGAAACGTCGTGGATTCCTGCAGTCAGGAAAGCTTCAAATCAAGATTAATAGCCATTTTCTATACTTTTTAGGCATCAGCAATTACGATATAACACTTACTACCCAGGAACAAAAATTGTGTTACATAGTGTCATTATTCGTGTGATTAATTACATTAAGCCCATACCGGCTAAATAAACAACCAAATAGCCACATTTGTGAGTGTCTATGCCCCAACCCTGGAATTACAGGAGGAAGTGGAGGTTTTACTATGCCAACTTGGACACAATACTCTCAAGTATTCCTAAGGAAGTCAATATTATTCTTCTTGGGGATTTTAAGGCCAGGGTCAACCGGGTCCATGACCTTTGGAGAGGCACGATTGGAAAGAAAGGTGTCAGCAATACCAACTCAAAGAGAGTTATTTTCATAATCAAATTTGCTGAACATTACCTCATCATCACCAACATACTTTTACGTCAGAGAAACAAATTCAAAACATCCTGCATGCACCACCGCTCCAAACTCTGGCTTCTTAATGACTATGTCATTGTCCAAGCCAAGCACTATCGTGATGTGAACATCAGACCATTGCTTGATCCGCTCCACTGTCTACTAGACTGGTGAAAACAAGGCTGAGATGGCCAAGACTTAACATTCAGAATTTGCGCTATACCAGAAATGATAACACTCCCAGAATATTATGGGTGCAAAACTCCCAAAATAATATCCTGATATCGAAAACCGGGGTTAAACAGGGCCGCATCATTGCGTCCATCGTGTTTTAAATCTTCATTGATGCTATCCTCCACCTCACAGACCAAATACCTGTACAGAACAGATGGCAGACTCAACATATTCAAGGCAAAGGCAAAGAGCAAAGTCTTCACCACTTCCATCATAGAACTCCAGTATGCAGATGACAATGCCATCATTGCCCACTCATAAGAAGACCTGCAGTGCATCCTGGATGTCTTCAAACTCTTGGATCTGGCCCTAAACATAAAAAACACAAATTCTCCACCAACCACCAACTGACGAGACACCGTCCACCGCAATACATTCTGACAATGTCACCCTCGAAAATATGGATCACTTTCCCTACGTTGGCAGCCTTCTCTCCTTTAAAGCAAGTGTAGTAAGTTCGAGGAGACGATGTCGAAGTTGAGGCACACTCTGTTTATTAACCCAGGGACAGGCACAATAGTTGAAGGGGTATCGGCCCCTTCACCCGTACTATGGGAAACCCACCCTAGTACTAAGCCCCCTGTCCTGTTCCCCAGTCCTCCTCTACTGGGCTACGGGAGGCTGACTGATCTGGCCCTGGCAAGCACAGATCTCGGCACCAGCTAACCAGCCTTGCCCTGATAAGGGCAGCGGTCTGGAAGCTTTTGGGCCGCGCCGCTGGCTTACCCGGCTCGGCCCTTATAAGGACGGCGAGACCGGGGAGTCCCAGGGCCTAATCTCCGAGTCTTGGATCTTCACTGGTCAGCTTCGTGTCGAACTCCTCGAGCTCTTTGCGTCTCCACCTTTTTATAGGGATCACCTCCGAGGGCTGGGGGCGTGGGCAATAACAGATGCGGACGTCGGTGTGACCACCCGTGTATGTGAGTGCCAACACCCCTGTGTTTGTTGTCCGCCGTTTCTCCCATAATAATCCCTACACATGCATCAACACGGAAATACACCACCGCCTAAACTGTGCCAGTAGAGCCTTTTCCTGACTGAGGAAAAGAGTCTTTGAAGATCGTGATATCTAGGTAAACCTAAACTTATCGTCTACAAACCCTACTGTATGGGATTGAAATCTGGACCACGTACAGTAAGCACCTTAAAGCCTTGAAGTTGCACCAACAAAAGTGCCTCCACAAAATCATCATGATCATTTGGAAAGACAGGCACACTAACGCCAGTGTCTTGGAGGAAGCAAACATTAACAGCATCACCACTACCATCACCCAACACCAGCTCAGATGGACTCGCTACTTTATTAGAATGCCCAACTCCCACCTCCCAAAACAGGTCCTGTACTCCCAGCTAAACAAAGGACAGCTGGTCCCCGGAGGACAGAAGAAGCACTACAAGGACAACATCAGGATTAACCTCAATAAGTGTCACATCAACACCACCAACAGGGAGGACATTGCTCAGGACAGAACCACGTGGAGGAAGCCCGTCCACGAGGGGGTCACACTCAATGAAAAAAACCTTCGCCGTGCCAGAGAGGACAAGCGATAACAATATAAGGAGAGGCTTACTACCAAAAAGGCCCAACCATCATCATCCACTACCACCATCACATACCCTTGCCCACATTGCAGCAGAATTTGCGGATCTTGGATCGTCCTCTTCAGCCATCTGAATATCCACTAACAGGACCCACCAGGAGGACAATCATACTCGACCCCGAGTGATCGCCGATGATGGATGAATGGCTGAATGAGTGAGTGAGTCAGTGAAAAGGTGAATGAGTGAGTGGGCAAATGAGTAAAAATGTTCTCCAGAAAAAAAGAGCGCTACAACGAGTCACATCATTCTACGCTAAGCAAGGACTGCCTGTACTCTAAAAACTTGGCAGAACCCTCGTGAAAAAAAAGTTTTGAGACTCAGTGATGCTTTTCTGGGTAAACAAAATGATATAATAAGCATTCTGTGTACCACCCCACACTCCTTCCCACCCTATCCAGGTATCTCTAACACACCCCTATCCTAGTTCCGGTCGTATCTCTATTTACGAACTTCCTCTGTTTTTTCAACTACTCTACCTCTCCCTACCTCCTCCCCCATGACTATTGGTGCCCCCCTCAAGGATCTGTCCAAAGAAACTTGCTCTTCTTTTTCTTCGATATCTTACCTCTGAAAGCTGTAATTTATTCATTTATTTTTCCCAATCACTTTTTCGCTGACGAAATCTAGATTTGTTTTCCTTTCCCTCCCTTAGTCCTGATCTGCCCTCCATTTTTTCTGACTGCTTAACCACTGGCCAGTCCTGTATGTCATGCCACTACCTCTCCATAAATCCTTATGAAACTGAAATCATTTTCTTCCCTTCTCTCCACTCCCGTCCACCCTGTGCTACCTTCTAATTTCCTCCCTTTTCCCGCACCCCTATCTCCTCTGTTCGCAACCTCGTGGTAATCTTCAACTCCTCCCTCTCCCACCACATCTCTGCGACTACCCACACTTGTCGCTTTCACCTATTCAATATTCGCAAAATCCATCCCCTCATCTCACTATCAGCTCCTAAACTACTGATTCACTTCCTCGTTTTCTCTCACATTGACTACTGCAACTCTCTTCTTCTACGTCTTCCTGCCTACTACTTTACTCCTCTCCAATAACATCATTCCGGATCAATTTAACCTTCCCCACAATACGCTGACTTCTGCTCTACTTTCCCAACATCATTGGCTCCCTGTCGACTTTCGCTGTCTGTTTTAATGTCTCACTCTTGTCTGTAAATCCCTCCATGGGCTTGTCCCACTATATCTTACTTATTGTATCTCTTACTACTCTGACCCATCCCGTCCTCTACTCTTACAGTTTCTACCGTCCCTCTCTGTGCTTCCCTCGCCGTGTTAGCAGTCATGATCTCGTTCCAGTTCCTGCTCCCCCTCACTGGAACCAACTCGCACTGCAGCACACGAAGCAATGATCTTCACCATAACAACCTACAGCTTCCCTTCCTCCCTTTAAAACAACCCCCATCTCTTCTCCCCTTGCCCATCACCCTGCCATCCCGTGCTTCTGATATTCCCTGTCCCCACCCCCCAGATACGACCATGCCTACCCCAACCCCTATCACTGCCCCTATCGCAAAACCTATCACTACTCCAACCCCTCCTTAATCACCCCACCAGTCCTAACTGTGACCATTACTACACCACCAATTTTAATAACCTCACTCTTTATTTTAATTACTATTATATCGTGTACAATTTCACAATAATTGTAATACACCTTGGACTAAGGCAATTTACAAATATCTCACAAAAAGTATACGTTTTATTATTAAGTGTACATGTTTGAAAATTATCCTTTTGTTTTCCTTAGCGGAGCTGCATCGGCCATTATGAACCTCACCACCCTCTTGGCCATGTACCTCACTGTGGCATGGCACGTGGTCGCCTCCTCTGATGTCACGGGGTCGCCCCAGGCTGCCGCGTCTGACGTCACATCGGACGCGGAAGTCGTCTGGGAGAACATGAGGGATGAGGCCGTGGCGTTTTGGCGGGAAAACCGATGCGAATTTCCACAAAAGGAATTTTATCCCAGGCAAGTCGTGTCTCGCTTAACGAGCGTTTTGTGTTTGTTTGATTTGTTACCATAAATCGCTATCACAAGCTATTGAACTTCGCTCAATTTGTTCCAAAACGAGTGGTTGGCACTCAGGCCTGAGCCAGAGTGCCATCCAGCAGAACCTCCAATTTTTTTGGATTAAGCAGCTTTTTGTGTATCATAAAAATATTGATTGCAATAGATGTCAAACCATGAGATGAAATTTGTGATTGGAGAAACGTAAGTAAGAAGGGCCCGAGGATGTTTACCTGTGGTGTGCCAACTAGGCATGTCATAGACAATGGCTGTTCGTCACCCAGCTTGAACTGTAATCGAACAATCCACCCCAGTACCCTACCGGATACACCGAACCTTGACCATAGCCACCAACTAAGTATCTAATTGTCGATAGTGTCAAAGGTGGCTGAAAATTGAGGCCAACCAATGCTGATCTTGTAGAGGTCATCAGTAATCTTTAGTAGAACCGTCTCAGTGATATGAAACTTCTGGTATGCCAACAGCAATGTTGAATTTGCCCATCGCAGCAACGCTATATGACCTTTGGAATCGTACTCGGGTATCTATGTATGTTGAACTTCTTTCGCACTGTACGAAACCAACCTTACGCTAATCGGCGGTGTAGGGGAAGGACAATAAATTATTCACGCAATTTTTAACCACTCTCAGAAACGGCCCTAGCTGAATGAAAGATTTGTCAGGTGGACAATCAGCAATGCAAGCGCGTCCGAGCCTGAATTGAGAATATACGTGTGGATTAATTCGAGCAGCGATGTCTTAGTTGGCAGTCATGTGATGAACATCGACACCTCTGCCACCGATATTGGTACTCGGGTCTCGATTTTTGCGTTGGTTCTAGGTTTATCAAACTCAGATCGCATACCAGGTGAATGGATTTCTTTCAAGATAGAAACTGCCATCTTGATCGTCGCCATTGTATTGGCAAAGACAGTCGCAAGTACTCTGCAGAGACCTGGTTGACTAGTTGATGGGTGGTTGAAGTGCAGCAAACCCTTCTTGACGCCCCACAGTGCATGGGGGTCCTCAGCTGACTCATTGAAGTGCAGAGCATAGAATGATCTGCGAGATCGAATAATACGTCGTTTGTCAGATCTGCAGGTGGCTCTGTAAGCGAGTCAGACAGTATCGAAACCAGTTTTCTAACAAAGATGCTCCACCCTGTTCTGCATCGCAGTGATCGCCTCTGGTAACAGCCAGTTCCAGCATTATTTTCCCATTATCTTTGTGCTTAATACGGATGGTCTAGTCGTTTCCACGTTGCACGTCACAAGACTGTGATCTGAAATACCTACTTCTTGAATTACAACTTCGATGACAGTTACAGCATCAACGGATGTGAAGATGTGATCGAGGATATTTCCCAAGAGACATGTTGCGCCATTGATTTTCCGGGTGAAACTGTGACTGTCGATAATGTCAGCGAGATCGATACTGATTTTACCACAAGAACCAGTCGGTTTGGGACAGTTCAGATGACCACAGATAATGAAGTGAGAGCCAAGTGACCCACAGTCTAGCAAACCAGAAAGCTAGGAAAATTATTCTGACAGCAGCGATGATGGCAGTCGATAGATGACAGCAATCGTAAGCCCCCGCATGCTCTTCATTATTTTCACATGCAGCAGCTCGATTGACGCGATTGTTAATGAGTCATTCAGGATTTTAACGCAGATGTCTTCATGGTAAATCAGTTCGATCCCACCACCATGCAGGCTGCCAGTGCCAGGCTTCCCGCGATGACGCTCATGTGCAATAGCGTATCCATTACGTGGAGCCTCACACTTAATTACGTCTCGTGAGTCGCCATGTACCCAGGTTTTAGTAATGGTCAATATGTCCAGTTCACAATCATTGATCAGGTTCTCCAAAATCCGGCGAAATGTTGGGATTATGGTCAGGGGTGTTGAGACTGAACGGATTTATTTATTTTAATTAATTTTCTCTGTGATGATATTTTTTTGTTACATGTATTTTATGTATCCGTTTTTGATTTTTGATTTGCTAAGTAGTGGGGTCTTGTTTTTGTATTATCTTTGCAAGGGACTGGTTAATTGATGTGCAGTGTTGTGGGATACAATGGCATGAATGACGCTATATAAATTACATTATTATTACTTGTGTAGGGGTTATTACGGGAGAAACGGCGGACAACAAACACAGGGCTGTCGGCACTCACATACACGGGTGGTCACACCGACGTCCGCATCAGTTATTGCCCACGCCCCCAGCCCTCGGAGGCGATCCCTATAAAAGGTGGAGACCCAAAGAGCTCGAGTTCAGTTCGACACGAAGTTGACCAGTGAAGATCCAAGACTGGGAGATTAGGCCCTGGGACTCCCCGGTCTCGCCGTCCTTATAAGGGCCGAGCCGGGTAAGCCAGTGGCGCGGCCCAAGAGCTTCCAGACCGCTGCCCTTATCAGGGCAAGGCTGGTTAGCTGGTGCCGAGATCTGTGCTTGCCAGGGCCAGATCAGTCAGCCTCCCGTAGCCCAGTAGAGGAGGACTGGGGGACAGGACAGAGGGCTTAGGACTAGGGTGGGTTTCCCATAGTACGGGTGAAGGGGCCGATACCCCTTCAACTATTGTACCTGTCCCGGAGTTAATAAACAGAGTGTGCCTCAACTTCGACATCGTCTCCTCGAACTTACTACATCTGGTGTTGGAAGTGGGCCAAGCATGGATACGAGACGGAAGACTCGTGCCCAAGACCCAGGAGAGGATGACGACGAGGGAGGGGCAGTGCAAGACATCACCGCCGACGTACCTGCACAACTGCTGCCGGCTCCGACATCGGCGGGGTCGTCGGAGAGGGCCGGGACGTCGACTGACGAGTTGGCGTTGGCTCACTCGCGGCTGGCGGAGCTCTTGTATGCAGCGGCCGCTATGCTGGAACAAATAACTCGCCTGGGGCCGGGAGGAGCGACGCGGCGGGAAGATGGACAACGCCCGCCAGAAACTCCCGCCTTTACAACAGCGGGGCGACTCGAAATTCCCGCCACGAAGACAGTAGGGGCGGAGGGAGGAGTCCCAGCTCGTCACGCGGGGGACGGAGCCCAGCCAGCAGCCGCCACGTCATCGGCGGAGGCGGGTCGCAGTGGCGGCCTATCAGGGGTTGCAACGTCACCACCATCGAACGCCAGCACCGACCAAGCCCCGACCAACACGTCACTGCCGGCGCGACACCCATTAGAGTCCGCCATTACTCATACAGTACGGGGACGCGATACAGATGCTGCAAGAGGATCGGAGACGGAGCCGACATTCCAGCAACGCCTGCCGGCCCTGCAGGTATTTGTTGCAAGCGACGGCGATTGGGGGGGGTTCCAGCGCCGGTTTTTGGCCCACCAAGAGATGGCGGGCTGGTCGGACAACGAGGCGCTGTGTGCTCTCCCGGCGTTACTGGACGGCGACGCCCTGGGCACCCTCACCGCTGCACCCAAGTCGGCACGCTCCACGATTCAGTCGGCGCTGCAGCTGCTGGCCACCGTTTATGGGCCGCCCTCCGATTGTCGCCAGCTCTTCTATGAACGGCAGAAGGGTGACAAGGAATCGCCACTCGCTTATCGCACGGCCCTGCTGTCATTGGCGAAGGACGCTTTCCCGCGTATGGATGAAGAAGGGATCGATGCGATGGTGGCCGAGAAAATTTTGCTGCTGGCTGACGATTTGGACTTCACCATCCTAGCACAGGACGATGCGGATATGTCATCACTGCGGGCTGCAGGGCACATTCACGCCAATCTCATCTCCCAGCGGAGGAAGGCGAACAAAGCAGCTGCACGACACACCGTGGCGGCGACCTCTTCCGGAATGGAGGGAGCCTTCGCTGCGGATCGTTCTGCAGGATGGCGATCTGCCGAGCGACCGGCTCGGGACGTTCCGAGCCATCGAGACCAGCCCAAGTCCTCTGGAGCGCTCGTCGTCTGCTATAATTGTGGCCTCCGGGGCCACGTGGCGTCCGGATGCCGGGCTCCTCGACAGCGCGGTGCGAGACCTGGAGCTGCGGACGGCCCTCCTCACAAGCCTTCGCAACATCCTCGGGCAAGTCATGGCACCCCACATGTTCGGCCTGCACACACACCCACTTTCCTCTCACAAGGTCCGACACACGATTCTCGGGGTTTGGGTGCTGGTGCGTCGGGTCGCGGCATGTCGGGGAGGGCGCTCCAACCGGGCCAATGGTCCGAGTTGGCTCACCGAGTTGTGGCTGCATCGGCGGGGTCGTCCGTTGTCGCGGGGCATATTGACGGGGTGGAGGTACGGCTACTGGTCGATACGGGAGCTTCGGCAACTATCATTTCGGATTTAATTTATAATATCCTGCCCGTTCAGAGTCGCCCGTTGCTCCCTGTCAATATACCGTTTTACGCTGCAAATGGGGGCTCGTTGGGTATTATCGGACAAATTCGAGCGCAAATTTCGATAGGGGACATTAAACTATCTGGCCCGGTGTTCGTCTCCTCCTCGCTGGCTATTCCGTGCCTGTTGGGGACAGACTTTTTGGCCAAATTGCCCATCAAAATTCTGATTGACCAGCAATGCATCGAGCTTCCATCGGGCCGACGTATGACGTTCCTACCTGCCACCCCTGCCTTGGATACTGCCTGTGCTACGGTACAGGCGCTCGTTGCCCGGACGGTGCGAGTACCCCCGGGGGCACAGATGTTGGTACCCCTGCGCTTGCGTCGACCGTTCGATAAAGGGGTCTCTGACCGGGGCATTATGTTGGGACCATCTAGAGCCGGGGTGAGTGGGCCAGATCTGGTGACGGCCCAGACTATTGTTAAAGGGGATGGGGACCCGTTTATCGCGGTCCTCAATGTCGGGACACGGACGGCAGTGGTTTCGCAGGGTACCGTGTTCGCACATGCGGTTCCGGTACCTGCGGAAACGCCGATCATTGGCCAGGTGGCCACCGATTCTCACACGCGATTAGCCTCAGACGCTGACGAGGGTTGGC